TCATTGTTCTCTCTCCACCACTCCACTGGAATTTGGTAGGAATTAGCCAATGAAGGCCCTGTCTTCCGAGGAGGAACCCTATTATACATCAGCCTGTACCAGGTAGATTGTAGTTAAAAAAAAATCCACACCTTCTGAGAGTTATTTTCTATTTTCTCCAATTAATAGAGAAGGTCATATGGAATATGACATAAACGGCTGATGCATTCCAGAAGTTTGGGTCTATAAGACCAGCCAATGAAAAGAGTCTCTGGACCTGAAACAACAGCCAGAATCAGAATCTTGCCTATGGGGAGAATTTGGAAGCATCTACTTTGGGGATTTCTGACCAACAGACTTACTCTTGCTTAATTCTCTTCAATGTCTTCAATGGTCCATTTCCAAACCTTTTAAGATTCTTCTTATGCGTTGTGTATTATGGTAGGTTCTAGTGATACAAACACCTTACATTTCATTCTTTCTCTGGTACTCACAGTTCCTCAAATGTGCCCCATTCCAGATTCCAATTCCTAACCTTGAAACTTCTCAAGCTTCAAAACTTGTCAAAGAGTTTGTATTCCCCAACCACCATCCCAAACTCCCAATATAGGTAAGGTTTCTTCTTCCAGTAATGCCTGTACTCTGTTTACCTGTAGTATAATCCTTCACACTGCATCCTAATGCCTATGGACTGTGCTTGTCTGTCTCTCTCACTTCTCAAAGGCACAGTATTTGCCTTTTCATATGAATTCCCAGAACTTATCACTGTATATACTAGCTCTTTATAAATGCTTGTTGAGTGAATAAACAAATACATGAATGCATGAACTAATGAATGAATGAATGAATAACATCACCCCTACTCTGCAGAAGCTCACTGTAGCTGGGGAAGAAATAACAATTGGGCTAATAAGCGATTAACCAATGTATAATAGAGATAAGATCCAAATACTGATAGAGCATAACATGAACAGAAATTAATTATTCCTTTCATTTTATGCCTTTTTTCTTGATGTCTGTTCTATTGTTGTGCTCAGAGGAGTGTTTAAAATTCACTATTGAATGATCTATGAACAAAACCCTGATTTCTTTTGAAGAATGGGTTACCATACAAATTTATTAGGGGAATGAAACAAGAACATTAGATAAAGAAAATACTGCTGGCTGCCTACAGAAATACAGTGACAATATCTCAACAAGGAGAATTTCCATACAAGCCTAACAAAGGGAATAGTAAAATCTTTGGGTTATTACCAAGTTTTTTTAGTGACTAGAGGACACTGATGTTATATGTTGTGAATATGGAAATTCCAGAGATAGTTATGATGAGGAAACTTCACAAACATTAAGTGAGGCTAGTCCTGCTTTCACGTATTTAAACAAAATTTCCAGAGGCAATGTCTACAAGAGGAATTTCTCAATATTCAATCTCTACCTTGTTTGGTTTTACGTGTAGGCAGTTTGCAGGTTTGTTACTAAGAGCTATAGATGGCACTAAAAGGAAGATGGACCGTTCCTACCACCTCTTCTTTCTAGTATTTGGTCCCAGCCTTTTTTCAGTCCCTCATCATTTCTGGCCAGAACCATAGCCACTTAAGTGTTCTGTCGCCACGATCTCCTTATCACTGGATTTTTCACATTGTTAAAAAAAGAGTGATCTTTTATAAAACAGGATCCAATTCAAATCTTCCAACATCTTTAGGGTGCATTGTTTTTCAATTAGGGTCCTTTGGAGTCTGTGGGAGGGGCACTATACTATTAGGGTAAAGTATAAAAAGCTGTAGGAAAGTAATGGGGTTTTTTTGAGGGCTTGGGATTACCTCAGTGGTAAGTAATTTAAAACATTTTTTAAAATGTTAAAACAAATACTGTGTTATTATGAAAGTAAATATAAAGGGGGCTTTTTATTTTATTTATTGAGAGAGAGAGAAAGAGAACATGAGTGGGGGCAGGGGCAGAGGAAGAAGTAGACACCCTGATGTGCCGGAAGCCTGACATGGGGTTCAGTCCCAGGGCCTTGGGATCAATGACCTGAGCTGAAGGCAGACACTTAACCGACCTAGCCACCCAAGGCACCTTTAAAAGAGGAATTTAAAAAGAAAGCATGAGACCTTAAAAGGATGCCAAGTGTTTGACGGTAGCTGTCACATTTTACTTAGACTCCCAAGGCACTTTTGTGAAAAGGGAGTGAAGAACCATCTAGAGGGGAAAGTTGCACCTTTCACAAGTCCCTGCCCAGCCTAGCTTCTCCCTGGGCCAGGAAAATACCTGTTCTCAGAAGACATATGGACTTTTGTGCCTCCACAACTTTCTTCTTGCTGTTTTCTCTGCCTGGGATTCTCACGCCTTCCCTTTTCACCAACTTTCCCTCCCTCCCTCCCTCCTTTCCTTCCTTCCTTCCTTCCTTCCTTCCTTCCTTCCTTCCTTCCTTCCTTCCTTCCTTCCTCCCTCCCTCCCTCCCTCCCTTC